TTGTTTTTGCTTTAACCCGGGAACGGGTGATGTGCCGGGAGTAACAAGTGTTCGCTAATAGAGAGGGGACTTGAGACAATAAGGGTGGATTGGCGTGGCGGGGGAGAGGACCCTGTAGGGGTTGGGGGCGGGGAGGAGGGAGAGCATTGTTTCTTCGCCGGCGAGTAATTGAAAGGTCAACCCCTCGTGATGACAAGGGAAATATCCCGCTCTGATTTCATGCCTACAGAGCTTTTGGCGCGATGCGGTGAGCTTGGGAACTTCCCGAGGTGCCGAACTTTCCTAGAAGACCGCGAAAAGTAGGAAACTCTGTTGCGAAATAATTCGCTCTCTGAGAATTAAGGACGTTCTAGGAATTACGTAAGGCACTTTTTTTGAGTTGTAGAACCTCCTTACTTCCTCGTGAAGTACTTGTAAGGTAACCTAAAGCCCCCCCCCCACCTTAAAAGGACATGACATTAGATCAACTTTCATCTCCTTTATTTCAGGATAAAACTGCGGAACACGCGCGCGGAGATAATGAAAATATTTGCGATTTTATTTATTTATTTATTTTTGGAAGAAAGGATCGATTTTAAATAAAATAATTGAAGGCCTTGGAGACACTCCCCCCTCCTCCTCGTGAGGCAAGAGATAGCTTCTTTCTCATCTTTTCTCTTTCTTTTTTTCATTTCCTTTTTTCTTTTCTACTTTTTCGTCATCTACTTTTTTATTTTTCTACTTTTCCTTCTTCCTGTTGTTTTCGTTTTTATTTTTTTTCTTTCTCTACAGTAACTTACCTCATTTTGTCTTTTTTTACTTTTCTTATGTCTATTTTTTCTGCTTCTTTCCTTTAATCTCTTTTCCTTTCCCCAGCTACTTCTCCCTCTTGCTCCGCTCCTTCTCCTTCTTCTTTCTCTTTTACCTCTTTTTTTTTTAAAGTTTTGATGCAAGGGCCAAAATCTGTACCATTAGCTCCACCCGATTCTCGATAAAACATTGACATTAAACATTGCTCCGATGACTGCATTTTGCAATTTGGAACTACGATTTCTGGCTCAGTTTGGAAATAACGTTTATACAAACAGTTTCCTTGTGCACACGAGTGTTTTTACAGATGAGCTAGAAATTGTAGTTCCGTATTGCAAAATATAGTCCATTTTGCTTCAGCCTTATAGTGATACCATCAACCCGAAATGACAAACCAACTAAAAAATAAATAGGAAAAAAAGGGCCATGAAACGGAGATAAAAAGTAAATAAAAATAATCCAAGGTTTTCATCGCGGCTTGGCTACTAATCCCACGTAGGTCTACTCTGCCGTGCTAAGGAAGAACGCCGTATGAAAATTCAAGAGTTGCCAAATTTCCTTCGATAAAATGCGCATTTTTTAGGAAAGTCATGAATATTTTCCCGTCAAATTTTCAGGTGCTCTAGGTAAAATTCCGAACAAAATTATCTGAAAAATTGGAAGGAAAACATTAATGAGCACCAGAAAATTCGTGTTTCATCAAAGGAAATTTGGCAACGCCTGAAGGTTCGCACGGCGTTTTTCCTCAGCACGGCCAGTATTTGCCTTTTTTACGAGGAGGAACAGTCTCCGAGAACCAATCACAGACGTCTTTACGGCCGCCCAACGCTCTCCTTCATGAATCCCCGTGATTTACCACCTCATCTCGGTGCGCAGTCTTATTAAACGCCGACGCACAGTGGATCGAGTCAATTAGAGAGGTCGAACATGACATTTTTGGCTAATAGTGCACATTTTGATGTTTATTTCGACACTTTCTAAATTTCAAGGGGTGTTTCTTGAAGAAAATTTACCATTTTTACCGAAGGAAACCAATGAAATCATTTTTAGAACCTCAAAATTTTGTATAAACTGAGTTATAAGCGTTTGAAGTTTCCAAATATTGTCCGACCTCTCCTATAGACTCGATCCACTGTGCGACGGTCCGGTCGTAACCTCTCCCTCATAACTGAGATTCCAAGACGTAACACTAAAAGCGTGTAACCGACACCAGCTAGACACGAGCGTTGCGCGGTTCTGTCCCGACGTGGAAATGTTCACACGCTTAGTCGGGCCACGTGATGGCCCGCGCTCAAGGTTGGAGCTTTTGAAGTTGAGGAGACCCGAGTTTGGGGCACCGCACCACGGATGCTGGGCCTGGCGCAGCTGCCATTTATCAGCGATTAAACTCGAGTTTCTGCATCAACTATGAGGACTAATTCCGGTTTCGTGCATGATTTGGCGGCGTTGGTCGAGTAGAGCCGCATACCGCCCACGGCATCCCCCTTCCCTCGTTCCGGACTAGGTTTCGCGAAAACTTTCGTGGAACGTTGCCATATCAGACCTCAAAAATTTGGATTCGTGTGTCCACGGAAACCGCAAATAGAGGGCTATTCTCATGGATGCTCCGTTGCCTGTTCTTGAGAGTCCTTTGGAGAGGTTAATGCTTTCTAATTTGATTGGGATTAAGTTTTAATCGGGCATTAAATGGATCGTAAATATGATCGTACTCGACACCGTAAACATGTATATTTGCTTCCTTAAAAAACGAAAATGCTCGATTTCTATGGATAAGGACCAGTTATTAACGGGCGAGAACGGACCGAAAAACCTTTCATAAATTAGTAATAGTATGTTGAGATTCCGTGCGCGACAGTATGGGGAGGGGATGGGGCATTCCTACTCCAAGAAAGTAAAAACAGCCACCTACACGGAAAAAACGAGCTTAGGGTTGGGACCTACTTGTTAGTGCTGGACACTAACGAGGGTTAGGTCAAATGGAGCCACCAAGTCAGAGGAGTGCTGGGCACTAAACAGCTCGAGGCTGGGTCACTAAGGAAGAAGTAGTGTCAAGCCCTAAAGTGACTTTGGAGCGAGCGTAAAATATGAAACGCCTCCGCCTGGGATCGAACTGGGATTGCGCCGGTGGAAGACCAGCGCGTTACCACCAGGCTATGGTGACTCCGACGTATTACAGGTGAATTTACACCTGTTAAGCGCAACTACGTCTCGCGGCATCTGATTAGCACTACTCATGTTCAGTGCTCACCTGTACTGCCTTCCGGTGTTGAGCTGTACAGCGCTTAGACGCCAGCCCCCAACTACTCCCCACTAAACGGCCAGTAGTGCTCAACACTAGTCTTGTTTTTTCCGTGTACGTTTTCAAAATGCCGGATTAATGGTGAACTAAGGGACAAGGTACAAATTTAAGCGTTTTAATTTAGATTCCTTCTTCAAAATTACACGTAGATAACGACTTGTTCATGTAAAAAACTCATATTAACTCCAAACCAAGATAATAACGTTTTTAAAACAAATATTATAATGCTTGAATTTGCACCTTGTCCATTCCAAATAATTCAATGAAATACCTAGTAAAAATATAATCTCACTTCCCGGTGTCATTCTTTGAGGACGTCACAGGGAAAATTTTTAGACCATGTCATCGAACTCGCTCTGTATCGAATCATGATCTGAAAAAGCTACAGGCTATAGGATACGAAAACAAATCCTATTTGAGCTCTTTATTTTCGCACACAGGGATTTCATAAAAGTCCTTTGGGAGAGGCTTCTAATTTCATAGGTGCTTGAGGCTCTAACGCTAGTGAGCTTGCTTTGGCGCGAGCAAGACACAAAAATAAAATATAAGTATACCTCCGATTCTATTAGAGGTATTTCGGGACGGACAGTATTCAGATGATTCCTTTCAATAAAAATATTTTCAGCACTTTCACTCGCTCCGATGGTTCTCAAGATGGGTTTCGGTTTCCCTCCCTGTTTTCTGGGCGTCTGAGCAGAGCGCTTCCTTTCCCTTTCTTATAATCCCACAGTCTCAAGGGACCGTGATCGTTTCACTCTCTGCAGTGCTGCCGCGCTACGGAACAACGCCGTATGAGCCTTCAGGTGTTGCCAAATTTCATTAGATAATACACGAATTTCCTAGTGAACTTATGATTATTTTTCCTCACATTCTTCGTATAATTTTGTTTGCAATTTCTCCTCATGTTCCTGAAAATATCAAGGAAAAATATTGGTATTTTTCCGCAAAAATTAACATTTTATGGGTGGAAATTTGGCAACTCTCGAATGTTCATACGGCGTTTTTCCTTAGCACGGCAGAATTCGTGACCCAACCGCTTTCCCCGAAAGCTGAGTTTTCTCTGCCGACTGGTATCTCTTGGATTATCCTGTATACTGCCTTGCTAAGGTGTCGTATGAGCATTCGGGAGGTTTCCAGATTTTCCTTGATAAAACGTTTATTTTGAAGACATTCATGAGTATCTTTACTTGAAATTTTCGGATACTTTCGATGAAACTGCTGATGTAGGAGTGTATTTCCGACTCTCCGAAGCATTCCATCGTGATTTAAGAGCCATTTACTTTAAGAAATGACATTGCAAACATTTTTCTTAAAGCGTCGTTTCTTGTCGACACAATTTGGTTTTTTAACGTTAAATCCGTGCGGATTCAACTCAACATCAGTTTTTTTTTAGTTAAAAAAGCGTCGTTTTACGATCGCTAGGTTTGAAATTAAAAAGATAACAAATCAGCCTTTCTTTAACTCGAAAAAACCAACTTCAAGTAAAATCCGCACGGATTTAACTCAAGAAAAAAACAAATTTTGTCGACAAAAAACGACGCTTTAAGTCAAAATGAATCACTAAACACAAAAAGGGCACATGTCCAGAAAACCACAATTTTCAGGAGACACAAAAAACTGTTCATTTCGTGGTAGAATTTTTTTAAACATAACGACTTTCCAAAAAATATCTATCACGAAATAAATAGTTTTTTAAGTCTCCTGAACAATTTGGTTTTCTAGACATGTGCCCTTTTTGTATTTAGTGATTCAAATATAAATAACTCAAGAATTATTTTTTTTTCTGTAAACTCTTTTTTTTGGTCTTGCTGAAGTTTGCGAGAGGCCCATTCTGCGACTAGCACAACTGATCCTTCTCCATTTACTTTGAGACTCCTGTAAATTTTACAATCGTCGTGATTTTTGTTTTCAGGTGCAGGCGGCGTCGGACCCCGACTCGGAGGGGTTTGAGGAGCGGGAGGAGGAGAAGCGGGGGTGGCGGGACCTGCAGGGGGGCGGTTGGGGGAAGCGAGCGTGGGAGAACCTGAAGAGCGGCGGTTGGGGTAAGCGCTCAGGCTCCGGGGGTTGCTCGGATTCGGAGCAGCAGTCCCAGTGGAAGCGGGGCTGGTCCGACCTCCAGCAGGCTGGCTGGGGCAAACGGGGCTGGTCCGATCTCCAGGGCAGCGGATGGGGCAAGCGTGGATGGAGCAACCTCCACCCCGGATGGGGCAAGCGTGGCTGGCAGAATCTCCACTCCTCCGGCTGGGGCAAACGGGCCTGGCAGAATCTCCAGGTGAGCCAAACTTCCAAGTTCCTGCCTGTTCAACTTTTTAGCTCAGGGTGAAACCAGACGGATTTAAGAAGAACCATCCACTGGAAAAAAACACATTGGATCTAGAATCCAGGCTCTTAAAAACATCGACAAGAAAAAAAACTCTTGATTCAATCGGATTTTTACTTGAATTAAGAACCAAGCCTCTTAATTTGAGCGGATTTCCTCTTGATTTAAGCGAAAATCTGATTGAATCAGGAGTATTTTTTCTTGGGGATGTTTTCAAGAGTCTGGACTCTAGATCCAATGTGTTATTTTTTTCCAATGGGAGAAAAAGAAATGGACCAGCGGCGAAGCGTTAATGATCAAGCATTGATATTTCCCCATTTGAAGCTATGGTGAAGAATCGATTATTAGGGTGTTCGTTGAGAACGCCCTGTCGATCGATTCTTTTCCACGGGTTTAAATGGCAGATAAATCGATGTATCGCAAAGCACGCCACGCCACTGAAATGGACCTGGCTCTACCTTCCGCCTGTTGTGGAGTGCGGAAAGATATGTCATCTGTATGGAAAGAATGTGCTGAGCACGAGAGAATGCGCTGAGTACAGAAGAAATGTGATGAGAACAGGCGCCGACTGTGCCTCAGTACTACTTATCTGTGTTTCTTATGAACAAATTAGTGTTCCTCTGAAAGGGCTATTTCAAGTTAAAATCTCAAAATTCCGTAAAAAATCACCATTAAATTACAAAAACATTCTTTTGTAAAAAGTTTTAAAGCAACTGCCTCAGCGACGCGTCGCAACAACTTAAGAGCATGAAGGATATATGTACACTCAAAATTTTAAGCAGAAAGTTGCTCAGTTTTCTTGCAAAAAATAAAATATAACAAGAAATTAGACAACGTGTGCCGTCCTTAGGATGAGACCATTTGCACCCGTTTAATTAGACGAAGAGCCCATCTTCATCTTATTGGAAGTAGATAAACGGCAAAGCAAGGAGGTCCACTTCAGTATTAGGAACAAGCGCGAGCGGGGAACCAAGTTATCCTTCAATTGAGTGGGTAGGCAATTTCACCTACTCAGAGGTTAAAATAGTTGTATCAAGTATTTGATCTCTCAGTGACACTGAGACATCTTCTGATGAAATGCGGGGGCTGTGGGGACGTCGGTCGAGCATTACAACGATAAGAAGTGTTCCTTGCGATAATTCAAGGAAATTTCTCGTATAATTTTACTTTTCTTTTCATGCACCGTACACTTTTCGATCATTGATCGCGGTCCTTGGATTTTTCAAAAGAAAGTATTAAACTTTGATTTTTTTTTTTTTTTTTTTTTTTTTTTTTTTTTTTTTTTTATCAAAGCTGAAGTCGCCTTTAATCGGATAAACTAAGCAAATGGAACTTTGAAAAAAAGACTTGTTTGCAACTCTCCAAACTGCAGGTCATAATTATGTTACATGGAGACGCGAGGATCAGGGAATACTGAAAAAAACCATACGAGACTCTAAATACCGAGACAAATATTTGTGTTCTTGTGTTACTCCTGGTTAATACAGGAAGGAAAACACAAACTAAAGAATATTTTGCGCTGATTTTTGCACGGTTTGTGTTGAGAACGAGAAAATGACGAACGATGACGGCAAACCCCAAATTAATCTGAAAACTCAGTTACTTTGTGTTTCATTTCCCACATTAACCGAACTTCTATGCTATTTTTCTCTCAGTGTATACTGTATGTATGTATGTATGTATAAAGTCGCTTTTATAGCGCTCTTTGGCGCTCTGCGACCCCTAGCCGCCAAAGTCCCCTATCCTCCCAAAGCCCTTCAGGGAGTTGACAAACCCTCATTTCTTCTAAAATCCCCTGTCGCCACCCTTTCACTGGGCGTCCCCTTCGTCTCCTTCCAGGAGGAACCCAATCAAGCAACTTCTTTGGCAGCCTTTCGTCCGTCATTCTATTGACATGACCATACCAGACAAGCTGTCTGGTCATGACGTCGAATATGATGTCATTTTCGACTCCCATGATCTGACGCACTCTTTCATTGCGGACCCGATCTCTCCTAGAAATTCCAGCAGACCTCCTCCAGAAATCCATCTCCGTTGCTCTTAGCATCCCCTTTGTCCGCTCCTTCAGCTGCCAAACTTCACATCCATATGTAAGAATACTCTTGACTACAACGTCGTAAATTCTCCTCTTGTTCTCCTTGGAAATCCGAGGGTCCCAGAGGATTCCATTTAACATCGCTGTAGCCTTCCTTGCCAGGGTGTTTCTTTCCTTAATCGCTTGATCAGTTCTTCCATCCTGGGTCAACCGCACTCCCAAGTACTTATAGTGCTCGCAGCCTTTGATCTGCTGCCCATCCTCCAACTCAATGCTTTGCTGATCACCGCCAAAAGTCATCTTCTCAGATTTGGATATGCTGACTTCCAGACCCCACTTTCGATACTCTTCTACTAACTTGCGCATCATGTATTCCGCGTCGTCTACTGCGCGTCGCAGTGTATACTGTATAGGCCTAAACACGCTTACATTTTTTCATCCTTCGGTAGATTTTTCCGCTCTGGTGAATGCTAAATAAATCAATCCCTAGCGGGTATTCGATATTCGCTTTGATATATAACCAACAAATAATGTGCTCGATTTCCATCGGATTGTCATCGCATAATCTGATTCCGTTTTTTCCATCAATCCACGGTTACACCCTCGTCAGAATTCATCCGGTGTTCATCATCGAGTAACGTTATCAAATCTCCTATCACTTCCCTTTTTTGTTGGATTCAGGCAAACTCCAGCGTTCAGCAAGAATTTAAACAGCCGTCAGATGTGGCGAGCCCTGAAACGGTTGAATCATTCAAGTCAATCCAAGCTGAAACAAAAATACTACTTTCCTCAAAGGAAGTTTTAAAAAAACGAGTATCTACCAAAGAAGATGCTTGATTGGGGTCCTCATGGGAGGAGACGAAGGGGACGCCCGGTGAGAGGGTGGCGACAGGGGGTGTTAAATGATATGAGGGAGTGTCAACTCCCTGATGACCTGTGGGAAGATCGAGTTTTGTAGCAATTAGGCGTCGCAAAGCGCCAGAGAGCGCTATAAAAGTGAGTCATATATACATGAGTATCTACCTGGAAGTAGGAAGAGCACGGACATGTCGGTGATTTTGGGGTTAGATCATGGAGCTTTTCGGTCCCTGAAGGGCTATGGATTCGAATTATCCGGAGTAATTTATTATTAGAATAATTGTTATGGCCCGTCATTTGTAAATCACGTCTTTGACTTAGTTTTTGCATACGTTTACTCATTTTTGTGGAAGATCGCTCATTTATAAACTTTCTTGGTCATCTTGGTTTGATATTAAGTCTGAAGATTGGCAGTGGCAAAATTTTTGTTTTATGGTTGACTGCTCTTTTGGGCCATAAGAACTCCATATTTCGACATGTCCGCCCGCTTCCTATATGGGTTTCCTATCTAGTAACGACAAGGTGGTAAAATATTGCTAGGTCCACACTTTTTTGCAAAGCACTTTGAAAAGCAAGGTTAAAGGCGGCTGGCGCTGAGCAAGCAAGGCGCTGACTCCGCGAATTTAAATAATAGGCCCTAGCATAAAGCGGAGTGATGCGACGTGCTGCCAGCACGAAACGCGCACTGGCGCCTACAAACCTAAGCAGATACTTCACGCATTGCGCAATGCTTGAGGTATCCCTTAGGTTTGTAGGCGCCAATGCGCGTTCCGTGCTGGCTGGCTGGTCGCGCCGCGCCGCAGCGTGCCACATGCCACGGCGCTTCACTATTTCACAGTAGAGGTGTTGTACAGTATTATACAAAATTGAAGGCACTCCAACATACCAACAATAAGAATGACAGGCATCCTTTAGGAGTACGGAACTTTCCTTGCAAAATAAGTCGAGATAAGAGAGATAAAAGAACATTCTTGAGTATGCGTAGCGAAATAGTAGCTCGAAGCGCTGCGGCAAACCAGTGCCGAAGCGAAGTTATCATGCACAGGAAAAATATGAGATCCTACAGCGGAGGCAAATCAAAAGGTTTTCCAGTTCAGGTACAAAAATATGGGAAAATATTCTTGAAAGATAATTAAGTCCTGTTGCATCAAAGAGGTGTTGAGAGTTTTAGTGAATTTTCTCTCATGTAAATGATGCTCCCTCATTTTTACCAAAAATCTCAATTATATATTTTTCTCCGTTGGAGCAATCAAACAAAAACAAAAAAAACAAGCAAACCCTCATTCTCCCGAGACATTATCATCCAAAAACGTCGTATGCAATTGTCGTTTGTATTTACATGTGGACCAATAAACTTTGGGTCTCAAGTGGTAAGTGGACCAAAACTCCCCTTCCGAAAAAACGCGTGAACGTAAACTACTGGAAAAAAACAGGTGCGGAGACAAAAAATCGTTGACAAAATGTCTCATAACCGAAATTTTCTGGCCTTGCTTTCCCTGCAAAATAGTGTGAACACAGCGCTGTTTTTCCCTCTTTGTTACATACTGTGATGGTCACATTTTTAGTCTTTTTTTTCTTACCTGTAAACCGTACGTTGTTCTGACAACTATTTTTATTATTAATACGTCCATTTTCCTAAATGTTATCCATATCCACACCTCTCCCCTCTCGTTCTTGGTTCAGCGGACGCGTGAAATGCAGTGGCGTGGCGTGCTTTGCAATTTATCGATTGTTATGCCATTTAAACCTATGGAAAAGGATCGATAATCAGGGTATTCGCAACGAACACCTGAATAATCGATTCTTTACCATAGGTTTAAATGGCAGAACAATCGATACATCGCAAAGCACACTTCGCCGCTGGTGAAATGATACCGTGCAGTGCTGCATTTAGTGGTTCCCGTCCCGTTATTCGCCATTAAGTCGCACAATTGGACGTATTTATGCCAAAAGGAACTAAGTCTCACACAAACCCTATGCACATAGTTCCTTTTAGCATAAATACGTCCAATTGCGATGCACTGAAACTGATAAACGACAGAAGGCATTAAGTTCCGGC